ACTTCAGCTTTCACGTGCGTTTCCGTATGCACGCTACGATCATTGAGATAAAACTGAAGAGTCTGTCGCTGCGATCGCTGAACGTTTTTTGGCTGCCATCTTAGCGATCATATGTAAGCCAGCCTCAACAGAAAGGAAACATGATATTAGGCTGCGGTCATGCCCTCCCGCCCTCGTGGATCATGACAGTACGAGTAGTCGGTTTTTGTTCCTGAAAGACTGAGTAAAGATTATGCAAATGAGGGAAAGAAACGAGGAGGCAATGCTCCTTTCCCTCCGCGGCCGCGCTTCTCGTGACTCGCTTGCGGCTCGGCCGCTTGATCGCTCATCGCACGCGAGTCACACACTAGGACACGAAACTCATAGCACGCTAGGAAAAGACAGAGACTGCTCGCAGCGTAGGATCATTAGTAGTCGCTGCTCTGCCCTCATTGTGTAGAGCGTTTTCACTCACGCGGCGCCGCGGCCAGCAGCCATGCGAATTTATCATTTATTGTTAACACAAGAAAAGAGTTTAACCTCCACGGGATTGGTTTGGGTTTAGTTGATAGAGGGGAACCCTCTATCAACTATTCTTTAGTTTGGCTTGCTGTAACAGTGAGGCAGTAGTCCCCAGAGCTGCTTGTCCTTGTTAACCGGCGGGGTCTTGGTACGAGGTAAAAAGGCAGTGGAGACACATTACTTTGATTGACTAGATTCTTTGACCAGGAATTTCTCAACGTTAGCTGGTCCTTCCCGAAAATATCCGTAGTTTTACGTTATATTCTCTCGGTCATTTAACACCGGGAACCGTCTGGAACGAGCGTAATGGAACATCTAAGCGGCCATGATATCGAGTTCGACTTTGCGCCTCACTCACCTCGCACAGCGGCTTTCCATAATAATCTTTTCGAACCTCTGCGTAAGAGTGATGGTTCAGTCGAGTAAGTCTCGGCGATGTTATTCGCGGAAGACAAAACTGAAGTTAAAATTAAAGGGCCTAGGGTAGTTTCTCAAGCGAGATATTTTTTCTCCGATTAGTAAAAGTTCAATTTTTCGTTCCTCATCTTCAATACATGAGTAGAAAAGATGACAGACAAAAAATAAAACACTGATAAAATTATATTATGTTTTTTCTTGCTAATGGGTTAATACTGTCGAGTGATTTGATTAATGGTCAGCGACTAAATTCGTATTACTTATCAGATATTGTAACTTTATATGTTATCATCCTGGGAATCACGCGGTTCGTTTCAACATGAGAATTTGATAGACCTCGTTAAGGTTAGGAGGCATTAAAAATAAAATTTGTAGGTGAAGAAATTGTACTGTGGTTCACCCACTTGTATTTTAATATAAACAAGAACGTACAATGCGTGTGTCATTCAATAAGTCGTCGTCGAATTCGAATTAGCATGACAGAAGGTTGACAGGCGAAGACTGATAAACTTGATTTGAACAGATGTAATTTTCAGTTCTGTGCAGTTTCGTCGCCACTATAGCGGTCTCTATTATAACCGAAGTATCAAAATGGGTGATTTGTATGGGAATCGAAGACACCAAAAACCGAGGGAGAGATTTTTTAAAAGATTTGATTGTCGAAGCTATAGATGCAAGCAGAAATACGCCGTGCAGTTGACGGAAGCAAGCCACGAAGCTATCAACAGCAAGATTTTCATATGTAATTGGTCTAGCCTTTCATGAATTGACGTTTAAATATGAGTCTTAGTTTCGATGAATAATTTATTCACGCACACGCCGCTTTCTACGGTACAATAATATCAAATTCAGTTGTCCATGTTTTTTCATTTGAAATAAAGGAGCCGAAAATATGGCGATAAAAAATATTGATCTTTATGGCATGTGTGTAAACAGACCGGATGATTCGCGTTGATTTAGGACTTTGTGCGATGTACACATTGGAGAATCCTGAGCACTTATTAAGACATAAAGATGGTTTTATTGTTGTTGATGTTATCTTTGGTGAAATTCACGAGCTAGTGAATATTTCATTTAACTAGCATTTGAAAAAAAGCTTAAGTGGTAGAATTAAAGGAAGATGGCTTTTCGAAGAGATTTTCTCCACAGCGCGTTTCTCGTACCTCCACTGATATCGACAAAATTAAAATACCTGTTTCGTAACTGATTTTGAAGTTTAATTTTCTTTTTTGACTTTTCATTTAATGTTTTATTTTTTTAGATATTTTGGTTTCATGCATTACCTCAGAGCATGTGGCCTTACATTAAAATGATAATTTGCTACCTAATTGAGATCCTTTCAGATACTTTTGTTATGCAAAGTTGTCTTTAACCAACAACCAAATCTCCTCGTTCTTGTTTTCCGAACCACCGAATTTCATTTCTTTTACTTCAAATACTTACCATTCAACAATACTCGAAGATTATAAATCATTTGAGAAATAATAATATACTTTGAACAAAGTTTCCTGAATTCTAAGAAATAAATTGTCGACGTTTTGCAAACTGAATTTTTCGTTTAATTTGTAAGTTCTCGGATGTTTTCATTCATTTCTTGATCTGATCAAATGTACGCGAGTTAACAACTTGTTCAGAAAATCTCCGTGTTCTGAATACATTAACCTATTTGAATTATTCATGTAGTCTTTCTGTAAATTTACAATTCTAAAATGACAGCGCGTAGAAAACAATAAAAACAGTATTCAGGCCGCCACCTGTCATATGTCGTTGTTGAATGTCGCCCACTTTATGAGAGCGAACAAAATCTTTCAAGGAAACATTCGAACTTGCCGAGTGCTGCGTGCGAAAGATATAACTTGAGAGTTGTTCTGACATAACTAAATTTTCGCTGTATTTATTCGATAACTCTCCAAGACTTAAAAGGACATCAATTGCTCGTTTTTCCAATTGCTTTATTGCCATCTGGGAGGGCGAATGGAGCCCTTCAATCGTGGATTGAATCACATCAGTGAACAACCGAGCAACAACTCGAGTGTTCAGACACCCAAGCCATCGCTTGCGGGAGAAAGCGGCGATAAGGGTCGAAGGATTATCATCAACGTTAGTGGACTACGCTTTGAAACCTTCGAACAAACGCTTTGTCAGTTCCCGGAAACCCTGCTCGGTTCTTCGGCAAAAAGGGATTTCTACTATGACATTGAAAACAATGAATATTTTTTCGACAGAAATCGCTCATCGTTCGAGGCCATTTTATTTTTTTATCAGTCGAATGGCAAGCTAGTGCGACCTAGTGGTGTTCCCTTCTACGTTTTTTCGGAAGAAGTGAAATTTTTTGAGCTTGGCAAGGAATATCTTCAGCGATTGGAGATAGACGAGGGCTACATTAGCGAGAAGAAACCTGTATTGCCGACTAACCAAACACAGAGGAGGATATGGGAATTATTCGAGTACCCCGATAGCTCTATGCCCGCGCGTTTTCTAGCTATGTGGTCAGTTTCGGTTATTATTCTGTCCATCGTCGTATTTTGCCTCGAGACTCTGCCGAGCATAAGATGCAAGAATGACTCAAGTGGACCTGGTTGCGAAAAGTACAGTGATAGCGATCAAGCTCAGGAAGTTTGGTACCGCGTAATCGAGGTGCTATGTATCGCTTGGTTTACTCTAGAATATGTAGTGCGGTTGCTATCGTCGCCGCAAAAGTTGGTCTTTATTCGCACATTTTTAAATATTATTGACCTAGTGGCGATATTGCCGTACTATATTACACTTCCAATGAATGAAGCCCGGGTCACGTCGTTAGCTGTACTTCGAGTCATTCGACTTGTGCGAGTTTTCCGCATCTTCAAGCTCTCGCGTCACTCCAAAGGCTTACAAGTCCTCGGTTATACTCTTCGCTCAAGCTCGAGGGAACTAGCCATGCTTATATTTTTCCTGTTGATCGGAGTAGTGCTGTTTGCAAGCGCTGTTTTCTACGCCGAACAAGACAGCAAAAACAGCCAATTCAAAAGCATCCCTGATGCATTCTGGTGGGCAGTGGTTACTATGACAACGGTCGGGTAAGTCAAGAATTTCCTCATTTAGTCTTTAAAGCTAAATTGATGACCAACCAATTCTTAGTTAAGTATTGATTCTGACGCTTTTATGGAAGTAAGCCTCCCTGTTCTGGCAGTGCAGAGATTCTATTTGTGTTTTTCGTCGTACCTTACTTATATCGACAACCTGTCACTCTTGAACTAGGAACATACGGCTTATATTACGAGTTCAAAATTTCCTGAATCTCAATTTAATTACTTTATTCAAGGAGCTGAAAGAATATAATGTTCAAAAATACGTGACAAGAACTAGAAACGGGATGTCGTAAATCATTGAACAATATGTTTGACTGAAATGAATGGTCCAACCATTCGTTTCATTAACGAGAAATGACGTTTTTGAACATAAAATTGTTTATTTAAAATTAATTCTGTCTTATCGAACGCTTCGATCTGTAATTCATTCAAGAATATTTTCACCATGAGACGGTTACCAGCGCGATCGAAAAGCAATGAATTTCGCTTAAGTATAATTACAATTTTATAGCAAATATGTTGTACATTTTAATTTTAAAAAATGTCAGCGATATATCAGAAACCGGCCAGTTTCCATTGTTCATTTGAATTAAAACGACTCGAATGTAAGACTGAAAGCCTTTCCATAAAAAAAAATTGACCAGTAGCAGTTTAATTTTTTACTAGAATTTAATTAAACTAATGGACTTAAAATTTGAGACGGGCTTTCATTTAAAGAGATCCCGATAATTGTTTTTGAGAAGAAAATATCTACTTGTTGTTCAGGGAAATAAACTGCTGTGAGACACCCGAAGAAAGCCGTTTGTTTTTAAGACAGAACAGTTAGAGGTTGAGCAATGTTTCTTTTGTCTTGTGGTCTCAGGCCGACTCTGTCAGGGTCAGTCTTTATTAAGTCAACAAGACATGCAATGAGCTATTCACATGACGTCGATATACTGGTACATATTAATGTTTTAGGAATATTCTGTCCAATTTAGAAATAATTGGATGAGAAATTCCAAAGTCTGCAGTCAAACTGGAAAGGAACAATTTGCCAGTCAGGGGAACTGTTTGAATCGATTAAATGTAAATTGCAGACTGGGCAAGCAAGCTGTCGTATTACCTTTTCATTACGTTGTACAGAAGAATACACATGCTGAATTGGTTTTGCTTGAATTGATGGAACTTTAGGAATTACATCAATCTGAGTGAGGTCAAGTAAGGTGATTCGTATGGGAAGAAGAAAGCATCACAGAAAAGTGCATTTAAAATTGAAAAAAAAAAAAATTAAAAAATGCAGCATGGGATCTTTCAATTTCATTCCACCGACAAATATATGTTGCCATCGTTGCTATCAGCAAAACGAGCTGCAGTGAAGGATTATGGGAAGGGGCAAAGAAATTTCTCTTCTCCCTCCCATGCGCCTGCAGTTCTCTTGATTGATGAGTGCTTTTGTACGTGTGAGAAATCATCATTTGAAGCACTATATATGTTGCATTGTGCGCCTTATAAAAGTTCCACATAACAACACGCCATCATGTTTTTAAATTTTAATTGTGATCCAATTTTTGCAAATTTTTTCTACCTAAAATTTGTTTCAGTCAAACCTGGAATCTATTACCATGATGAAACTTTGAACTCTGCGGTGGAACCCTAGTGCGCAAACATTTAAGCGAAATAAGCTCTTTACAAGTACTTTATGAGGCGTTGCTGTCTTTTAGGCTTAGCTATTGAAAATTTTCTTTTAGTCGGTATACAGTAATGTTGTTTTTTGATACAAAGCAAAACTCCATAATGTGAAGCAATTCGAAAAAATGCATTTCTTTTAGTCTGATCGCACAATTCTCTCACTTTCGTTTTTCATCTGCAAAACAAATACTTAACTAATAGGTCCAAAGTTGCCGACTGTGGGAAGTAAAAGGTATTGACGTTTATTAAAAGAATTCTTAAATAGTGTACGCCAATCAACATCTCAAAGCGAGAGGTTTATGATCAAACATTTTAAAGCATCTTACAGAAAGTTCAATAAAGTAACTCTTAAATTATCGATATATCGGTGAAGTCCTTAATCAAAATGCGAAAAAACGTATTCAAACTTTTGACAATGCGACCTTGATTAATAAACAGCTTTTAAATTATGCACTTTTTAAGGTCTTCTGTCAGTCATATTTATCAGTGACAATTTTCTTTGGTTAGCTCAATCTCTAGAACTCAAATTTTATACAAATAGCGAACCGGAAAAATACTGACATACGAGAAATATCTGTTAAAATCTTTTCTAGAAATGTCTATTGATGTGTTATTGATAAATGCCTCACTCTGCACATTTCCTATTGTATAATATTGTACTGTTTGTCGGACGCTTTGATTGGTCAAGAAAACAGTAAATAACCTGCATTACTTACCTCCCGTAGATAATTGCTAATATTGTGCACAGAACATGTAAAAATAACATTCTTACCGTCTCAAAATGCGTTATTGGTATCTTGAAAGTAATTGAATTGAACATACTTTAATAACAATATCGTCTCAAGTAAATATTTCAGTAGATATCAACCCAAAAGCGACTTTAAAAATATAAGCCCTCCACCACCCTTTTCAATTATTCACGACATCAAAAGAAACCGCAGAGCTAGGGAGTAGCAACAATCTTGCTAGGAAAAGAAAATTAGTTGTATCCTTTTCACAAAGTCGATATATGCCTGTTCTTTACACAAGTATCTGCATGTGAGGGGAGGGATGGGGAGTTTGTAGGGTAAAAGTACGCAATAATATGATCTAACATATGATATTTATTTTCCACTTCGTCATGCCTTAGGTTAGCATTTTTCCTATTTGCGGCTGAAGTAAATGTTAGTCTTCTAATCTCAGTATCTGAATATTATTTGATAAACTTGTAAAACTTAGAATAATAAAATGGTCATGGAGTTTCGTTTATGGCAGAGCCATGGCCTGTCCGCACAATCTTTGAATTACGTCAAAATTATGTGAAACCTGCGAAGACATGATTGATCTTCGCAGTTATGTACACAACTTAAGCAGCTATGAGATTAAAGCTGTAAAAAAATGCAGGCTTGAACGGGATTCGAAGTCAAGGGCTCGAATCTCGTTCAAAACGTTTTCCAGGCTTTATTTTCACAGTTGCCTTAAGCCATGTATACAACTGCCGTGATCATTCATGTCTTTGCACCTTTGCCCGCAGTTCAAATATATGATTTCTCATATATTTACAGTTGCATTATGTGAAAGTTTCGCATTTTTGACGATGACCGAGCATAATTGGCTATATAACCTGTTTAACCGATCTTTTAGAAATTCTCCTTAAATTCACTCCATCGATGAGTTCCATTGCCTTTCGGCAATGGCAAACGTCTAAGAGCCGGACTTTGTAATATTAGCATTTGAAGACACGGGGCCTCTAGGGGTCTGGAGAGAGCATTGCATGCCAGCATTTTCCTTTCTTGCTTAACATTTTTAGATAATTAAATCAAATTTTTGATAGAGATTATCTTGTAAACTATACAATGGGCAGAAAAAGAAGAAAAACTGAACTGTAGGAAAATGAAGATTTCTAAGTTAGTTTCCTTTAAAATATTAAACCAAAATAAACATGATATATACTAGTTATTCAACGCTTTGTAGTGGTATACCATGGAATATCCCCCAAGACACTAGAATTTCCCATGCCATAGAAAATACAGTGGACAGCACAATCAATGCGATTGGTTGTATTTTCTATGGCTTGGTGTAAAGGTTTAAGTCTGCATACGAGCCAAGTGGCCCATCAGGTCCGAACTTATCCCGGTTTCAGTAGCATGAAGCGATTAGAAGTATTTCTACTCCGCCTGGATGGGATGCCAGTCCATCACAGGGTTACCCCCAGCATTAAATTCGTCGGCACCAATTTATACACCTGGGTGGAGAGAGGCGCTGTGAGAGTAAAGTGTCTTGCCCAAGAACATAACATGATGTTCCCGGCCAGGGCTCGAATCCGGACCGCTCGATCCGGAGGCGAGCGCACTAACCATGAAGCCACCGCGCTTCCCAAGCATAAAGAAAAGTATTCAGTAATGTTTACATTCAGTTAATTGTTTCATTACAATGTTTTGTTTCTTGGGTAGATACGGGGACATGACACCGCTGACGTTTGGAGGTAAAATTGTGGGTTCAATCTGCGCCATTTCAGGTGTGCTAACTATAGCTCTTCCAGTGCCAGTTATTGTCTCAAATTTCAACTACTTTTACAAGCGAGAGGAAATTAACCAAGCTCTGGAAATGGCTGAAAATGGCGAGTGCAGCAGAGAGCAAAATGACGACGACGTCTTCAACGGACCCGTCACTAGTCCCTCCGGGCAAATGACTGTCAGTTCACCCAACTCGTTTGGACTGGAAGAGGTTCGAGTTAAAACTGAGACGCCTGTTTGATCACGTAGTTGTGATGATGTAATCATTTCCAAGAGTGTCCGTGATGGCCAACTGTTTGCTCCAAGTTTCATCAAGGCGGTACATTATAAAAATGCACTATTCAGAGAGAGCTTTTAGAGACGAGATTTGAATATTACCAAGAAGCTTAAGAGGCTAAATAACTACGTCGGAACCAACATGGTGAAATAAATGATCACTAAAGAACATTACAACTGAACCACTGGTAGATCACATATATTTTACAAGGTCGTTACCATGCTCTGCAGTGTGTTACAGCAAGAAAAGATTATCATCTCTTGGTTACATTAAGGGGACATTATATAAGAACTCCCGCCATGCTTTATTGGCATAATGAGAATTTCAACACGTGCACGATGCTGAGCTATGTGCGTAAAAAGTGCTAATTTCTTCGGGATTTTCAAGTTCAGCGAAGGACAAACTTTTAATCACAGCGGATGTCTGGCAAATAGTTTCAATGTATGTCACTTCAATGCGTTTATTGGAACTTTAAAGAACATACAGTCATGGAATTTGATATTGACTTGAAATTCCAATATAGAGAAATGGTGATTTTAAAGAATGAAATCTGGAGAATTAACATTAGTCTTCACTATAACAAAATAATCCTGTCCAGGAAACATTTTCTCACTGGCGGTGTTACGGACATTTTTGAAGCTCAATTTTCGGGAGCAGCTACAGGATCAGCAACACAATGTACAGTTTTGCAACAATTTTAACTCGCTATGTGGATTGACATAATAGCTATTAATACCTAATTCTTGGAAACAAGAGAAGATGAGTTATGCTTCAGCCCTCACCCCTCCTCCCTGGGTCCTTCATCTTTCCTAGGTGGAATGTAATGGACCGCTGGATCATAACGGAGTGATACTGATGGTGAACTGATTCATATTTTCTTTAAATGAATAAAGTAATACATACTAATTAATTCAATTTTAAAGAATAAACTCTTATTGTCGTTAATGATTACACATAATCTGATGATTACCCCGAACCAGAGTAAACAAAACATTTCTTATTGATCACAAGCAAACGACAAAAGGTTAGATCAAAGTCCTTTGGTACTAGCATAGATTTCGGGTACATAGAGATATGTTTGGTTTCATCACTGTCGAGGAGAAATTTCGCTCCGTGCGCTTTTACCTTTTGAACGAAAGATGAATTGGAGCTCAAACTGATAAGTGTACGTTTGCTAAATCATTTAGAATGCTATTTTCGAACTTTGCTGAGCGACTAAACATACTTAAAGAAAGTGAATAGCGATTATTTTGAATTTTAATCAATAATCAAGTTTCGTTGGCATCCCTTATTTTATTTTAGGTGACCGGGGATGGGGTTAGTTCGGGGCAGAGGGTGCTAACAACAACAACAACAACAACAACAACAACANTTATTTTACACTGCTGATCCTGATCTAAACCAAGATCCGGCTTCACTCCGCTGCTGTTTGTACAAGTGGTCCTTGCATTACAGTTTATCCAATATTCTAAGGGATATGTAATAAGCACAGTAAACATTGTAAAGGCTTTCGTGCGGTACCTTAAAGCAGTACAGGTCATATAAGAAAAACGGAAGGACCTGAGAAATGTAGTGATGATAAAAGTAAGCCAGACAGACGGGAAAAATTTATGCTGAATTATGCACTCACGTGCGTTCTACATTTAATTATGCAACGTGCACCTCTCGTTATTATAGCGGCACTTCCGGCCCATTACAGGCCTCAAATTAAGACTCCAGTGGATATTTTCTGAAATTTTTGTCGCAAATGGGCAGTAATTTCATTGTTTCCTGCTAGCTAGTCCCAAAAGGGCTTTATCTCATTGATATTTATTTATTTATTTTTATACAGCTATACGACATTATTTAACTCAAGTTTTATTGATATGATAATTATGGTCCCACTATGTAAAAATTCCTTGTTATACTGGTCAGCTACCTATTAGTCTTGTATGCATACTTAACGTGAAATCATCACGCAATCTTTGATGGAAGTTGGAGGGGAACAGTAACGTGACAGACATCAAATAGCTGGAGCTTAGTTGAATCTAACGCGCGCTCTTATTAGTTGATTTATGGTCACGTGGCAATGGCTTAAAATCTAGATGCCTCCCGGCGGGCAACAATTAAGAATTTTTGCCCGTTCATTCACTAACCAGATCAGAGGTTATTTTGATTTCTTCTTGCCTTATTACTTTACACTAAACGTCAGCTATATAACAGAACACTTAATTACTGGTTCCTTGGGAAACAGTTTTCTCCCCTCGAATCTCGAAGCTTTCCACGACTTCGTGTCAGGAAACATCGAGATTCTCAAGGGACCAATGAAGCGTATTATGTCTGTCACATTGGTGTTTCCAAACAACAGCATAAACAAATAAGGCCTCTGTGACGCCATAAGTCTTTCGCCTCTGTTTCATAATGAGGCTAAGTGCTTTGCGAAATAAAAAACCCTTTTCAGCAGCCTTCATATTGAGGCATAAAGTCATTTCGAATTTCAAAGTGACCTATTTTATGGTGGTTCATAGCTTTTAAAATTCTATTATTATGGATCTGATTTTCTTATTATGCAAGTGGGACCAAGCCATGGTGGCCAAAACGTAGTGCAATAGTCGATTACTAGGTAAACATACTTTTTAAAACGTTGTTTCAATCTGTACATAGTTTACAAGAAGACCCGACTAGAGAATTTTATTAACATTGACAGGCTTTGCGCTGTCGTCAATAGGATGTCACATTAGTTTCTGCGGCATTGTGGCGTCAGAGAGCTGGGACATCGGAGTGGGGAAATCGTTGGCTTTGTTGTTTGATATCTAGTTTATTAACCTCGTCATAACTGTAAGATAACAGCAGCTTCAATAAATAAATTTCCCGCTGTGCAAGCTAGTTTGATGTAATACTTCTGCCAGTGCATGAAGAGAAAGCTTCTTACAAGCTTATGATATGAAATGATATGCTGGATCCGTTTCCAAGTCACTACAAGTTGTGGCAACGAGGAGCGTTACCCTTTTAGCCATTTTTTCCCCACTGCACATGTATGCTTTTAAGCATACGTACATGCCTCGTGGCCAAGTCAGGGAGATCAACCAACCTAAAAATAGATTTGGTCTGACTATTTCCTCCTCTCCTTGATTGCGTGCGTAAAAAAATTGGTAACAGATGCTTCGAGGATTTAACACATTCTCATTTTTGTCCCAGTTATCACATATTCTCTCTCGTTTTCTACCTCCCTTGTTATGATGTTTGAACATTCAGTTACTAAAATTATGGCGGCGAACTGAAACGGCAGAAACTTATTAGTATGTTTATAGCCACCGCAAAGAGTGTGGCTGTGCGCTTGAAGGAAAAAAAAATCAATGTTTATCTAACACATTTTTCCTGTTGATTTAAGGACGCCTCTTTGGGTCAACAAGTGTCGGATGAAAGCCAGTATAATAAAGCAAAAGTATTTCATAAGACGTCAAATGTTATCAATTTTAATACATCCAAAATAAAAGCGATAATTAGACAACAGGGCTTTGTTGGAGGGTGATAAAACAGCAATGATCTGATTTTTGTCAGTTGTCATTTTTGTCAGCTGTCAGTAACTGAACCACATGTGGCCCACAAGAGCAGTCGGATAATATAAGCCCTAAGACGGGGGGCAAGGAAACAGCACTTGAAAGCTCTTTCCTTCTCAATTAGACACTGTTTCACCCCGTTGCCATCCAGAGTATTGTGTTACGTCGCGTTGGTGGACTAAATCAAGACCTATCAAAATCTTGAAACTTCTATTTGAACAGCGAGCGGAAACGTTTCGTTAAGGAACTTGCTAAAGCAGTGTCCTTATTCAAGATTAATAGTTGGCGTTTTCACATGTAACGGTTTGTTAAACTTGGTGGTTTTGAAGGAACGTTAGCGGATTGTATATTGCAGTTTTTCGCAGTCGACAAATCGAAGAGGACCAGGAATCGAAATCACAACCTTGGTAAGTCAACATCTCAACACATTACAATTCAATTGTGTCAGATGAATTAATCAATTATACCGCCATTGTGAATCATATTAGCTGACTGTTCATATTAGAGTCACAGAAAAGTTTACGCATTCGTTCATGCTCACATGCACGACCCGTGGCAAAAAGAAATATATATTAGCATATTTCTTTCCGGTTAAATAGATAACGTACCGCAAGTCACCCTAGGTCACGCTAAATCACGCAAATTTTTTTTAATTTTCTTCCTTTCTTGCGCCTGTGAAAGTTGTCGTTGATGACACCATGACTATATAACAGACAGAGCATTAATGGACATTCTTTATCATGCTTTCTTATTTAACAGAATATTCCGGGAGATTTCTTTCCAAATGGGGCCAGAGAAAAATTATGTTTCGTGGGTTGAATCTCTGTTGACCTCACAGATATTACTTAGGTTCCCTTCAAACATTTCCAATTTAGTTCATCCATCCCTTCTTTGACTTAACTTAAAATGGTACTTACACCTCTTTAAGTTATGAGAAATTTTAATTTCGAAGTTCACTAGAATGCTGGTCATTCTTTTTAAGTGCCTAACAAGTGCCACCATGGCAATCAAAGCCAAGGAAGTTATGCTACTGGTGTGGAAGTCTCAGTCACATTTTGGCCAACTTCAACTCTGTGTTTGGTTGATGTCTTTTTTGGCCACCTTGATCGGAATAGAGATACTTCATTCCAGAAAAGATAATTTCGTTTGCAACGGCACCGTGGAGCAGAAGAGCATGCAGTGTCCTGACAACCCCTCACTGGGTGTTCAGTTAGTTTTGACGAGAATTTATGGCGGCGGTTTGTTTGCGATTTGGTTTCTGTACACAGTTTACATCGTTCCTAGACTCTGGCGGTTCCGTAGGAGAGAAAACAGAACTCCACTATGCAGTCTATATCTAGCATATTGTTTACATCTGTTTGCAAAACTTCTCTTCAACGGTGCGATACTTTTCATTTACATTTTCTATGCTCATCGTTCATTCCCGGCCCGTCTGCAATGTGTTCTTCAGAATGGGACACAAAATGCTATTTGTACTGACAAATTCCGTGTGGAGAAATCTGTCATCCAGACTACGCTGCTGTTAGCACTTGCGGTTCTTACATTGTTTTGCCTTGTGGAATTCGCTTACATGTTGCATCTTATAAGGTCGAGAAGCAGAACAGTCTTCATCGGAGACGAAGCTCAACGAACTGAACAGCTCGACAATGGATGCTGGTGCGAGTGTGTAATGCCAACGGATCGACAGTTCAGCCTGTTTCGCCTTCACTTGAGGGAGATATGTCAGGATCCTGTCAATGCATTAAGAATGTACTTTGATGACATGAAGAAGTTCTACTTGGAGAAAACCGAATATATCGATCACTTCTACTTGGAAAACACCAAGGCCTTGAAACTAGACGACATCTTCATAAGACCAGTTTTATCAGAAGCTAGAAGCTCAAACTCTATTATGAGAAATGCATCTGTCCAAAAGGAACTGGAAAACTGCGACGAAATTTCTAGCATTTTGATAACTGGAAAGGCAGGAACTGGGAAAACTACTTTTGCACAGAAAATCGTGAGAAGGTGGGCGAAAGGAGAATGCGCAATTTTGACCCTGACCAAGATTGTCCTTTGGCTGGACTTCACGACTCTGGAAGACACAACTTGTACTGTTTCCCTCGAGGAGTTAATCAGCAGTCAACTTTCTTTGAATCTTCCTAAAGAAGAACTCCTCGATTTTGTGAAAGACAATCCCAAAACGATTCTAATCGTTATTGACAACGTCAGCGAATCACATTTTGATTGTCAAGAGACCGACTTTGCCGACAGTTTTGAAGAAAGAATGCCTTTGTCGGTTATGCTGAAGAAACTTGTTACAGGAAAGATATTGAAGGGTGCTACACTTCTAACGTGTTCCAGACAAACACACAGCAACTCTCCAGATTTTTCCGGCTTTAGAAGTCGAACAAACATCATGGGATTTTCTCCACGGGAAATTAAGGAGTATGTTAAGGTATATTTTGCAAATGACGGTTGTGACAAAGACGAGTTGGCCACATTCGTGTTGGTGGAGAGTTTAACAGACAATACGCTTTCCGTATGTTGTGTCCCATTGCATTGTTTCTACATGTGCTCCTTTATGCAGTGGATCCGTAACTCTCACAGAGCATCTTCATTGGAGGTAGGAGGGGACATTCCAGAGACTGTCACTGAACTTTACAAAGGGATTGTACAAATGAGTATCCAGTTGCAGCGGTCAGCATCTGCACCGCTCAATTTTGATGAAACTGCAGACTTGTTACCTTTACCCGGTGCTCAGGAGAACTCAACAAGGACTTCAAGCTCATCAAAGGGAGCTGCCATGACAGACACTCAAGTTTCAATCCACACTGAATTAGAGTCAAGAACACAGTGTGTTCCTCTTCACTCATTACTCGGGATTCCCACAAAAGTCTGCTTTCTCGCAATGAAAAGTGTCGATGAAGAGAATTTCACCTTTGGTGGTGAAAACCTTCGCTCAATTTTAACGCAGGAAATGATTTCCATCTACTTCAAGCCGATTGCGATGCCGAAGGATTGCGCGGAAACGCATTTCGCCTTTCGAAGTGATTACCTTCAGGCGTTTCTAGCAGCCTGCTTCGTTGTCTCAGACCCTTCACTAAAGAGGTTTGGAAGCTTGGTCGAGCAAGTTAAAGAAGGCGATTCAAGTAGGCGAGACGACATGCTTCAGTTTGCCTGCGGTCTTTTATTTGGCGAATCACAGGCTTCCGACAAGAAGAAGAGAGAAGCTATTCATCTTGTCACGGAACTAGCCAGCGTATTTCAACCTGGCAAAAGGAGACAAAAGGAACTGCAAATTGTTATGATCAAGTGTGTTGCCGAGGTTAAAAATGAGAAACTGTCACGTAAAGTAGCAAGTAAGATAATCCCTTCTGTGGGGTTTCCTTGCTGCGATGTTGGAGTTGAGGAATGCTCTGCTCTTGCGCGTGTGCTTGGCGTCTCTCCATTTGCGTCCATCAGGCTTGTCGATTTATCGGATAACAAGATCAGTGTCATGGGCACTCGACAGCTGACTCAGAAGTTGCTGCTTCCTGGTAAAGGCCCAACCGAGGAGTTAAATCTGAAGGGAAACATGTTGGAAGATGAGGGACTCGAGGAATTGACCGAAGCTCTCAAGAAGAAGGAATGTCGACTGAAGATCCTAAACGTAGCTGCAAATGACATTACAAGCTCAGGTGTGTCGAAGCTATCTTCAGCACTTGAATCAAACACATGTTTGGAGGAACTGAACCTTAGCTCCAATGAGATCTGCAGTCAAGGAGTTGCGCAACTTTCCACGGTTCTCCGGAAAGAGAAGAGTAAAATCACAAGGTTAAATCTCTCCTGCAACAAGCTTGGAGATGACGGGGTTCCTTTTTTGGTGTCAGTTCGACAAACCTCGCTCAATCTGGCGTGGAACAACATTGGCATCGAAGGCCTTCGTTCACTGATCTCCATATTTCATACCTTGCAGAACCTGGAGCAACTTGATTTAAGTGGAAATATCATTGAGGCAGTTGGGGTGGAGGCTCTGTTACCCTGCTTAATGGTTCCAAGTTGCAAACTAAAGTGCCTTGAACTAAACCACTGCAAATTAGAAGATGAGGGAGTCATCCATTGTGTAAAAGTGTTAACTTTTCCGCAAAATCAAATGACATGTTTAGGCCTCGCTGGTAACAGCATCACAAACGAAGGAGTTCGGAAGATAGCAAAAGCCCTTAGTTCTCCAGAATGTAAGGTGAAAAGTCTAAACCTAAGCTGCAACGTCATTGGGGACGAGGGAGTAGAAAACCTTTCACTAAGTTTGGGTAGCCCAAACTGCAACCTTCAAGAACTTGATTTGAGTCATAATCAAATTGAAAGCAAAGGCTGCAAGAGTTTGGCTGCAGCAATCAGAAAGCGCAACTGTTTGGAGCGATTAGATCTCGATGGCAACCATGTCGGTGACGAAGGAGCGACGCAATTACTGTCAGCACTCAGGATCCATAACTGTAAGCTTCACAGTTTGATGTTGGATGGAAACGAAATTGGTGACGGAGGGATCGCTGTCCTGCCGCATGCATTCAGAAGCCCCCACTGCAAGCTGGGCCGTCTTCACTTAGGAAGAAACTTGATCAGTCCTTACAGCCTTGAAACTTTTAACGAGGCATTGAAGAGTCCCTTCTGTCACTTGGAACAACTGATTTTGAGAGACCCTGCTTTAAGTGAATCATTTGAGGCAAAGAAAAGCACCACAGGCACTAAGCTGACTTAAAACTTTCCTGTACCAAAAACGTTTGTATTATCCCTCTTGACAGATGGTCTGGATAGGGGTTATCATTTAACCTTTGTCTCGACCATCAATAGAAGTCTCAGTCCACTTGTCAGCTACGCGTAAATTTTGCAGATCCCAGATCTCCCATTTCTAAGCTGGCACTTAAAATTTTGCCCATTTCTCAGTTAACAGTTTCAAAACCGAATCCAGACCATCTTCACAAGAGACCAAATTTGGAAGTTTTGTTAAGTAAATCTTTAATTTGAAATACATATAGTGAAAGAAAAACGACAAGATCAGGTATTTGATCAATAATTGTTTCATATTTTTTTGGCTACGATATTGAACAGTGACTATAAAAATAAGTTTAGGTTGTGTGCTCGGTTGGTTCTTACTTTTCCCGGCTTGTTAGAACTTTTAACATTTTTAATAATTAGCGAATGTAAGGTTTTTTGAGATCAGTCAAGGCTGATAAGATTTGTAGAGACCTTGATGATTCCATTATTCTATTTTTCTTATAGAGCGTTTTCATGTGACGTCACAGCAGCCATATTGGTGTTCCAAAACAATGAAACGGCGGCAATGTTGGTGTACCAAACCAGACCTGTGGGAGTTAAATTCTTTTCTCATGTAAACACTTTCTTTTGTTCCAATAAATTTGCATGGCTGCTGGCCACGTTAGTGAAAACGCTTCATGATAAAACTGCCTTAAATAACAGCTAACGTTCTGTACATATGTTGTGCCGAACACAATCGAAAAACATTTTCAGTTCGTTGTGTGAATGTGTAGAAGATGTCCAGACATCAAGCAAGATCCTTGTAATGCAGATAACATTAATGATCATCAGCATTATTCCTTTGCTGTCGCTTGCGTTGATATTCAGAATTGTGAAAATGTGAAATTTACAAATTGACGTCAGTTTTTCATGCGTCCGTCCTGTTATTGATCACGAATTTCGTCATAACATTGTCAAAGTTGTGGATCCGCAGACTACTTTTGACAATGTTGACGAAATTCATTGTCAATAACAGGACAAACCCATGAAAAACTGACGTCAATTTGTTTTTTTTACGATAACAAATTGTCAAATTGTCCGCTTTCGCTCGTTGACGCATCGCATAAATTATGAATTCATTTGTCTGTCCGCTTATTGACAATGAAAATTAGCCAATAAGCGCGGGAGAATTTCTGCAGTTATCGTAAAGATAGTGACTGCAATTTTCAAAACTGGTAATTGTCTTGGTGAGATCATTTCTTACATTTAGAAGAAGTATGACCTCAGTCATCAAAATCGTGTTAGCGTACAACGTTTTTGAACTTATTACATGAAAAACCCTACATCCTACAGAAGATCCATTGTTTGGAATCTTTTAGAACCATCCGCTGTCAGCCCGCCAGAGATCATGCTAAAAGGGCAGAAAACAGCCTCCCGCCCTCAGAAACTTGAACTTTCGTGAAGAGTCACCGCAAGTGGGTCCCCAAATTGACTGTGATTTCGTCTTTTATTGATTTTATTCATATCTTTTTTGCATTTTTCAATTTTTTATTATCATATTGACATTTTTCGGCACGGCCCAATAAGCTCTATTAGCTTTAAAACCCACCGTGTTCAAATAAAAGATGTTGTTGTTGTTGTTGTAGAAATGACCAACTTGAAGTAAAGGGTGCTTTCCATTATGCCAAACCGACCGGTCAGAAACCAGTGGGAATACCCGAGGAAAATGGAACGACAGTTTCCGATCAAACCGGGGCAACCAAGAGGAATGTCTTACCATTTTTCATTCCTTTTCCGAATTCCCTACATAAGCGAAGAGAAGTACGGCAATGAACCCGTTTGTCAAAATTCGGTCGGAATATTCCGACCGAAATAAGTGGACCACCTCCAGAGGTGATCGCGAATATTCCCGTGACCTTTCCATTTGACTTTCCGGAATTTTTGGCATAATGGAAAGTACCCAAAGTTTTGAAAGGTTACAATTTCTGGTAACTAATTAATCCTAGTGCAGCTTAAATTATGTTCCCAAATCTTTTACATTGGTAATTTATTAGGTATTGAGAAGTAGCTTACCCGGCATGCTCTTTTGTCTCTGACGGCCAATACTGTGTGCTGTTAGTAGTGTAAAACGAGACTGCGGACCGTGGTAAAATGAAGACCAAAGGTAAAATGCAGACTGTCGACTTTTTAACTGAATCATGTTTCCATTTATGTCATTGAAAGCTCACCATAAACAGCCTAACCGGAGCGTTATTCAGGCTAACCTGACTGACGTTCAGGCTAAACCGAGTGAAAGTTTTTATATTTTAATTTTCTTAACGGATGCGAGGAATCCCTGTACAAACTAAACCAGCATCACGTGGATTTTACAAAACGACACAAATAAATTTCAGATCACTCTCAGTCAGAATTGTCGACCTATTGTAGCTCCTGGGGTTTTTCTTCTTCCCACCCTTCAAGAGCGAGGCTGCTAATATCCTAAATTCGCTAACTGGAGGCTGGAAAAAGATCTTTTCAACCTGCGAAGGCACGGTTTTCACTTGTTTATATTCAGCCAAATCCAGGTTACCATTGTCGAACCAAAGACAACGAGATCACGTTCCTTTACTCCGAGTTAGAGCAAAAGGAGTACCTCGCTCCAAAATGGTCCTGTTCTTTCCATTATTCCTTCAATAGCCAATAATAATCATCATCATGGCTAAACAAGTAAATGAGCAACCTCATTCAGGCTCTCAGAAAGCCTGGGAACGAGATTAGTAAATGATTTTACTTCAAGCCTCCCATTCGCTGAAACGGGTCACGTGGTACAATCTTCCCAGTCCACACTCGCCAAAAAGCCATCAAGAAATCAAGAGAAACAACCCTCCACTGGTGTAAACCAGTTTTAGTTTATTCTCAAGACTTGCAGACTGCTAGTACTAAAATATAACTGTATTTCATGATCCTGATATTTGATTACATATACATTAAAGATAACAAAATTGTTGGTTTCCATATTTTACAAATGATATACAGTACGGAAAAACAAAAAAAATCTTGTTCTCATTTGTGAATAAATATAGAGATACTGCCTGTGAGGTGCTCCTTTGCAACTTGTACGAGGCAAATTATCCCACATAGTAACAGCTATTAAATTCCGCTGTCATTTTAAGCTATCATTCGACGCACAACCTAGTCTGTTGCTTACTTACCAGATGCATTAGCAATGAACGCAGTTTCAAATCTATAAAAGTCCAATCGTTGTAGATATGTTCAATATCAAGTATACGACTAACTTTAAGGAATTACAGCCAGTAAAAACACGGATAGCATACATTGAGATCACTAACAAGTTCAAGTCTTGAGGCGTGATACAAAAATGTCTTAGACAAGCTTCGCATAGTAGAGATAAATATTACACGATGAGTAGTTGGGTATGTACTACAAATTCATTTGCTTCCCGTTATTGCCTGAAGTCTCGATAAAGAACATCCTTAGCAAAGAAGCATACAAATGTCTCCACCTTGTTCAATGCTTCCAAAAATTCATTCCACCATATAAATGAACTATAACGTCCAAGGGCTTGTCAGAGTGCCCGCTTCAATATATAACAAGCTATTCTACTTATTTACGTATAAAAAAGCATTATAATGTTAATTTATTTCACGACGCTAGGGTACAGTTGCAGGAGTCTGTGAAGTTTGGAACCAGGCTTCATTATATTCCAAAACTTTACGGACTTGACCAAGTGACATACAACCCAAAGCCCAAGCAATCTCCTCCTAGTGAGTTAGTACAGTGAAACATATTAAATGCTAGTTTTCTGTCCCCCGTTACATGGCCAAGATATGGAGAGAAAATGCTGTGTAGACTTAACCTGTATTAATGATTGAACTTACACATACGAAAAACTGTGTGTTCTCGATACTCAGGAAATGATAAATGAATTTCTTTGCAATGTTGAGCTTTAGCACTCTAGGAAGTGAAAGTATTAAGGTCTACAGGATCAGACCATGTTCAATGCCTAGTATTAACAGAAAAGCAAGCGGACGAAAGAGATCAATTTCTGCCTCGTAAATTATGTCTTATCTTGCTATTCAAAATTCTGTACAAATCAGAAGCTTGACCAAGATTTACTGGACACTTAAAAAAATTCTTCTGCATCACTTTCTTCACTGACGAGAAAAACAAATTGAGATTTAAGCCAAAGACGTCCCACACTGATGGCGTAGGTATCCAGTAGCGTCTCTGATTGGTTGAGCTCCAGTTTAACCATTAACAAACCCTGTACGGGCCTCTGCAGGATTACGTCATCAGTATGAGATTTTTATTTCAGATCTCGAAAGTCTCTCCCTCAGTAGCGACTAAAATCCTACCACAAACGATTACAACCTGATTCAATGGGTGGAAAAAATACCAACTATACCATCAAATTTACTCACAACTATGAAAACTGTACTTAGTACCTAATACTTAAATTACACCAATGACAAAAATTCACTAATCACGTACCAAGCTAAATATGGTCAAACTTTGTGACGTAATAATTTTATACCTCCTTCACGAGAAGGTATTCTGAATTCATTTCAACTCGAAACAGTACAATAGTTACTTCAATTCATTACAAAATTTTATTAAACCACGCTCGCGACTCTCTCAAAATGGATGCTAGTAGCCTTGGTTGAGTTGTGTGATACCAATTTTCACCTTTACTCAATCAAAAAAGAAAACCAAACAACAATTTCCTTTTCTCGAAAATGGATTATTTTAGGTAACAAAGACAGAGAGTTATAAAATTTATATGACTATAAAAAATAAAATTTGACAAGGGCAAACAACAGAGAGATCACATCGAGGTTCTTCAGTAGCATTGAACAATCGAACAACCTCTGAAAACGGGTAAAACTGATCTCAAAGACTACTAGCAGCACATGCTGGACGGAGCGTGAACAATTTCAATTAATTAATTTATTATTCTGATGGAATTAATCATATTCACAGGTCAGGCATTGCAAATTACATTATACAAAACGCTCGAGGTATTTCATCTTTACACAAGCCCAAGAACATTTGCTGTGGCCAATCTCGAGGAATCTCAGACCAATTCCTTAATAAATCTTTTGTTACAATTCCATAAAATTAGGTACTAAAACGACTAGTATAGTTTACAATACCAATACCCTTGTCTAAATGAAAAAATAAATTTGTATTTATAATTTAAGCATACTTGATATATTGGTTAATTTTAGTAAACCATTCATATTGGACACCTGTAGAGAACAAGACGGAAAATACTGTCCTTAGCTAAATTTTTCACAAAGTTATCCACCCATGAAATCAAAGCAATAAAATCCACTTAGTGATCCCATAAATTAGACCGTCTTTAACCCTTTACTCCCTAGGAGTGCCATTTGGTACACAACAGCATAACTTTGTGAATATTTGAGAGATTTCTATGAATTTTTGCCCTGAAAATTGTTTTGTAAAGATCTGCTCATTCAAGGCATAAAATTGTGACCCCCTCCTATCTGAGATATGGTTGACCACCACCATAATTTTACAATTTCTTTTTTTTTTTGATGCACCTGGAATGCAAGACTTGTTTCACACCATGCTATGCACTAAGACCTGCTAAATAAGCTACAGTTCAGGGGCATACCTATGATATTTGAGAATTGATACGTGTTGGAAGCTTTTCAGTTTCACATTTCAAAACAATTTCTCTCAAAATGACTACCTCCTTCATAGCTGCTGATGTCAGTTCTTAAATAAGCTGATCAGTGGCTTTCAAATGGTATACAGCGGTTTTCAATTGAGTGTCGTAAAACCAAAACCAAACCAATTTCTTACCAATTAGACTACTCAGCCAATCTCAATCTGCAGTAAAACCAAAACCAAAACCAAAGTAATTGTCTAATTACTTTCGACACTCAATTGAAAACCGCTCTATTGTACACAGGTAGAGAGCCTTTATTTGCTGATTTAGGAAAAACTGTCGTTTGCCTTAGGGGGTAAAGGGTTAAATTCGTACAAACGATGGTTTAAAGAACACATGCTACTCGTTCCAGTCTACCAGGGTCTTGAACGTGACGTAACGGACGGCGTAAATTGGAAAAAAATAAACTGAACATTTGACGTTGGCTACGAGGTCCTATGAGAGAAGACCATAAACCTTAACTATCGTTGCTCCACTGTGACCTATACTTACCAAACTGTGTGATTAATGATTGCCTGATAACTGCTATGACTGGCTTGAGACCACAGAACCACCATCTACAGCAAACACAAACCCAAGATAAACAAAAGGCCGAGGAAAAACAAGAGAAAGCAAGAACTAGCAATGTAAGAGCACAGACGCTCTTTCTTTGCTAAAACTTGAATCAAATTGTCTCTTCAAACTATCAATACAATGTCAGGCTTGAAAGAACTGATCACCTAAGAAACCTATAGTGATACTAAATAAATTCCTTCAAGAGTAAGAGAGAATAACGTGTTGACACCGGAGCTGGAAGGTAAACATCAATATTACACACACATGTAATTCATTTCAAAGCTCAGTACTACCTGTTTAAATGGCACGAAAGTGTAGAAGAGTCTGGCATGGCCTCCCATCCCTGTCAGTCTTGCCCCTCCCCTGTCCGTATTTCCTTACTTTCCTAGCTCCTCCGATGTGAGTATAATTTTCACTTTCACCCTCCTTTCTCGTGTCAGTATCTGCCTAATTTCCTTGTCCTTCTTTGATTCCTCTCCCCTGTCAGTATTTCCCTTCTTTGATTGCCCCTCCCCTGTCAATATTTTCCTTCTTTAATTGCCGCTCCCCTGTTAGTATTTCCCTGCTTTCCTTGCCCCTCCCCTGTCAGTATTTCCACGCTTTCCTTGCCGTATCAGTACTTCCCCTCTTCGATTGCTCCTCCCCTATCCGTATTTCCTCGCTTTCCTCACCCCTCCCCTGTCAGTATTTCCCTTCTTTGATTGCTCCTCCCCTGTCAGTATTCCCTGCTTTCCTTGCCCCTCCTCTGTCAGTATTTCCAAGCTTTCCTTACCTCTCCCGTATCAGTACTTCCCTTCTTTAATTGCTCCTCCCCTGTCAGTGTTTACCTGTTGTTTTTGGGTCACTACTGACCACATTGTGTTTAGCATTCTTAGCTGAAGGTTTTGGAGACGAGCTGACGCTTGACTGGCTCAGAGATGACTCCGATCCGGACGAGTTTTTTCTAATATTAGCTTCCTTGTCTTTGCTCTTGTCTTTTCCTTTATCACGTTGCTTAAACATCTTTCGCCAGGATTTGGAGCGCTTGAAATCACCACCATTACCAAGCTAAAATGAATTGGGTAAAATTAATTGAATTGAAGAGAAGTTTTGATACTATTACTACGTGTTGTTACTCAGGGTGCGTTCCTTTAGGGTGATCTGGATCAGTGATCTAAGATCACTCAGATCATGGTACTGTTTACGGATTCACCGCCTCGTTTGATGCACTCATGGGAACCATTTTACTTAACTATTCAAAAAATAGTTGACTGAGGAAATTAAAGGAACTACGTCACGATTAGCGCATCTTGCAAAGTTTAGCCTAACTTTGTTAAGTTCGTCGTTTGTAATACGTGTTAAGGTCATTCCACTGAAATAGAACCTGCACTGAGATTTTTGTGAAACTTTGGCTATTGATTGTTTACATTATAGGAACTTAAATTCTGAAATAAAAATGAGGGGTCCCCATGTTCGTTTAGGAGCAACAGCACCTTATTTATACCCATATAAATCCTTACAATAGCACCATGATTGTAGTCACGATTGCTTGCTAAATTCACGTTTCCGACGATTGCTTTTGTTCTACACTGAGAATTGGTCCATATTTATTTTACACAGAGAAATGTATTACTCAATTCAAAACAACAGAAAAAAAAATGATAGGTCACCATACTCGTTTGCGAGAAAATGACGATTTATCTCTATGGCGAGATCCAGCTGTAAACAAAAAGCCGCCATTTTTTAATGCGCGCGCGCTAATCACGCGTGAAATTATGCGCAGTAAGGATGCGCAGTGCAATACCGGGGAATGACCTTAATCTTCGCCATCCTTGTTTCTTTATGATTTATTATTATCTCTTTGGTATTTTCTATCTTAGTTAACTATGACTTTCAGTTTCCCTTCAATTTTAAGATTGTTTTGTACATTGCCAAAACAAATCTGAATACCGTGACTGAGCTCCTTTAAAGCCATATCGTGAAACAAGTAGTATCTTACTTCATCCAGCACTTCTCTGTCAGTACCGTTCGCCAGCAACCAATTGAATTCCCGCTCAAGAATTTGACGTATCTGTAATAGACAAACATCAAGTTGAATGGTGATCACAAATTAGATTCTCTAACTTTCTGATATTTAGTAGAATTCTACTAGTTATATGATTGGCCGAGTTATCGCACACTGTCAGCCGTTAGTGTGTAGCGACTAGAAATCGTTCGAAAATTACTGACGCTTTCTCGCTTCTCCGATGTATGGAAAGGGATCAGCAGAAAGTTGTGTGTTACCTGTGTGTTTTGACTGGGTATCTGTAAAGCGTATGCCAGGGTACTGAAGTCAAAAGTATCATCCAGCGCAATAACAGCTCCATGGACTCCTGTGCCGTGCAAGTTATCAGCGTATTCGTTCAATCCAATCTTCTTTAACCACTCAATTAAACGTTCATTGCTCCAAACAAGCACATCTAAATAGAATCAAATCACCGTGTTTGAGAAAGAATTACTTTGACATGCTCGTCACCTGTGAACCCAGCCCCTTTAAGTGAGAAAAGAGGCCCTGAGAGGTCCTGGTTAAGTTTTAAGATTTGTAACAAAATTGTTTCTCTTCACCTAGTAGTAACTAACTTGGCTTTGTAACCAGAACAACATGACTAGAAGACTCCTGCTCTGGAAACAAGTCTTCTACAATGTGCTATGAAGAAGTTGCATTTAGGAACAAACTACAATTTGATTTCAAAGGCTATTCTCTATTCTACAGTTTAATGCACTCACGTACCAAGCATCTCAAACATGTTACACTACATTCCATATAAAAGACAATAACTATTTTTACCTTTAACCTCCTCTGCACACATTTGCTGTCTTTTCTCCAGCAACTAGGAACAAAAAACGTTTCTTTAGCATCCTTAAACCACCAGGCGTCTTTGTTCTATACCACTCTTGCTAGTTGACGATGCTGAGATCTAAAGATATATTTCTGAACTCAAAAATTCACGTTCACATTAACTCATTCCACAGAATACTGGAATGCTATTGTGGTTACAATCCACGTTAAAAGAAAGCAGTTAGAGCTTCCAACTTACCCTCCTATCGTAATTCATAAATCCTAAACATTTGACACCACATTGTAAGCTGTGTCTGCAACAACAGAGTTAAATGCAAACAATCAATCAATCAATCAATCAATCAATCAATCAATCA